ATTGGCCTTATGTTTTGCTCATTCCTCCCTGAAAAAAATAAAAAAAATATTTGGAAATGCTGATCTAAAATGTTCTGCTTGGTATTGGAGTGTTTTATTATATGGCTTTTAAGAGAGCAAAAGGCAAAAAAAGAACATCCCTGAGGAATGCTTCATTTTGAACACATCAACATTCCCAGTGAAACAACAAACATGTCCCACCAGCCCTATAAACCACATTTATCTGCTTGTTCTATCTACCCATACCACCTGCTTCAGCCTCCCAGAAAGCAGCACAGCACTCAGGGCTGTTCCCCTTGCTCACAAAAGGACCTGGCCTCTCTCCTTGGCTCCTGTCCGCTGGATTAGGCTGTGTCTGAGACATGGGGTGGAGATTTGCTCCTCCTAAAATGCCCACAGCCCACCTGTGTCGACAGGCACTGATTGGTGATGGCCTGAAAGATGCTTTGCCACCTTGCTTTAATGCCCCTTTTTTTGGGCTGAGTTTGGAGGGGCTCCATTTAGATTCAGCCTCTTTCCTCCCCTTGCTGCGTCAGGTCTTGCATCCAGAAAGCCAAAATAATTTCTGCTCCTCAGTGTCTTCACTGCAAACCACAGATGGGCTCTGTGAAACCACCTGCCCTGCACTAAGAATGTGGTCAGAAAGAAGGAGTTAATGAGCTTGATAACCCTTTTCCCAAGGGAGGGGATTGAGATCCCAACTGCAGTGCTGTGTCCAGCTCTGGGGACCTCAGCACAAGGAAGATGTGGACTTGTTAGAGGCCACGGAGATGCTGCCAGGGCTGGAGCCCCTCTGCTCTGGAGCCAGGCTGGGAGAGTTGGGGGGGTTCCCCTGGAGAAGGGAAGGTTCCAGGGAGAGCTGAGAGCCCCTGGCAGGGCCTGAAGGGGCTCCAGGAGAGCTGGAGAGGGACTGGGGACAAGGCATGGAGGGACAGGATGGGGAGGGATGGCTTCCCACTGCCAGAGGGCAGGGATAGATGGGATATTGGGAAGAAATTCTTCCCTGTGAGGGTGGTGAGGCCCTGGCACAGGTTGCCCAGAGAGGCTGTGGCTGCTCCATCCCTGGAAGTGTCCAAGGCCAGGTTGGATGGGGCTTGGAGCAAGTGGGGATAGTGGAAGGTGTCCCTGCCCATGGCAGGGGGTGGAATGAGATGGTCTTTAAAGTCCCTTCCAACCCAAACCATTCTATGATTCTGTGATTCTTTTTCCACATATTTTGCTTTTTTTCTATTCAAAATTAATAGGAAATTAATTTCCTGCTCCAAAATTAAATTAAAATATGTAAGAGGAAGGTAATAAATTGCTCTCTGCATCAGCTGGCAACAAGCAAAGAAAGTTTAGACTAGACCAGAGGAGACCTTCCAACCAAAAGGACAGTGATTCCACTGCAGGAGGGGAAAGCTGCCATGAAGCATGATTTTGGAATAGACAAATCCATTTGCAGGAGGGGAAAGCTGCCATGAAGCATGATTTTGGAATAGACAAATCCATTTGCAGGAAAGGGGCTTGGACCAGATCCCCGCTGTCCTTGTCACATCTGTTTTGGGGACAGCTGACCTCACTTTCATCAACAAAAAATAATTCACCACAGTGAAGCCAAAAATAACATTGTAGAATCATTTAGGTTGAAAAAGAGTATCACCACAATCCAACAAAGGCGGACAATTTTCACACATTCACAATTAAAATCAAAATTCCACCTAATTCTATTGTTTTGTAGCAATGTCCAGTCCAGGTTCTGCCCACTGCCTCTCCCAGTTAGTGACCTGATCTCCAGTTTCTCAGGAGTTCCATGTTTGGAAACAAAGGGTACAGCAGAACAGGTTTGAGTCGTCCCTTGCAATAACTTTCAGTCTATTTTTCAGTGTACTGGAAGACCTGGGGTCAGCTGGACACCGGAGCCAGCAGAGCTGGACTTGACCTCAGAGGAACAAGCAATGAAGACTGATCCTGGCTTCCCAGAGGATTTTTGGATGTTCTGACCAAGGCAAGGCAACCTCACCTTCACAACCACTTAGATATTATCATTTTGCCACTGTTCTGCATTGACTGTGAGCAGGATCCATTTTTCCCACCTCTGGACCTGGGAAATGCTGCAGGCAGATGAACCGTGGCCGACCTTCCTTTGCAGAGCAAGGGAAGAATCACAGAATCATGGAATGGTTTGGGTTGGAAGGGACCTTAAAGATCATTTAGTTCCAACCCCTTGCCACGGGCAGAGACATCTTCCACCCGGGGCACGTCTCTCCTTGTTATAAACCCTGGAGTCTTAGGATAACCTCTGCCCCAAAAAGATAAAAAAGTGTAAAAAATAGAGGGAGGAAAGAAATGTAAAATGTCAAGAGGGAAGGAGCTGTACCTCTTTCCTGCTCAAGCCCAGCAGATTGTCAAGGCACTCACAGAACTCTGTGTGCTTTTACTTCAAACCCTTCAGTTCCTCCAAAGAGACCTACTCCAACACTTTTATTTGGGTTTAAGTGCATCAGTGTAAACCTGTTCCTCATTAGTTTAAATTAACCATAATGGCCCTGATTTAAACACAAACAGGGAGACAGATGAAAAGCAAGGAGGTAAAAGGATCATAATGAGCTGATGATGTTCTTTAGCTGAGCTGAGGTGACAGCACTGGACATGATCTCTCCCTGCCCTGGCTGGGGAGGGAAAGGCTTCTGTGCAGCCTCAAGGGTTTTAAGCATGGTTGGGGCAGGTCCATCCATCCTGAGCAGCTCATGAGGTGGCAGCCCCCAGCCTTACCCCCACCCTTCAGTTCACCCATCCCATCCCTACATCCCGCTCAAACCCTGCTGTCAAACCTCTCAGCAACGTGGACAAGTTGTCTTTGGAGACAGCAGGAGAGGAGGAGAGCTCACCCAGGGAGGGCAAGATGCAGGGAAGGTGCAACCCTCACCCAGATGGCATTTCCTAACATGTCACTTGGGAGAAACCTCCCTTTTCTTCCTAGGTGGTTAAAATCCTGCTGTGCGTGAGAAGCTTCAGCCCAGCCTTAGCTCTGGAGACAGGCACATGTTTTCTTTATCTCTGGATGTCACTGGATAGATTAGATGAGATATATTTATCTAGACAACAATCTGTGTTGCTGCAAAGATATGGCTGCAGAATTCCATGGGTTGAGATCATCCCATGCTGAGTTTAGCACCCGAGTGAAAAACGATCCTTCATTTTGGTGGTTGACATGTTTTCATCAAAACATAAGGAAAATGAGTAATTTGGACTCAAGTGTTGGGTGTTTGGGGTTTTTTTTGGGTTTTTTGTTGTTTTTTTTTTTTTAATTCACATTTATAAAGCAGTAAAGAGTTTGTGGGGCGGGTTATTTTAAGCAAAACCATCCTTATGAACATTGTCCTGGTGCAGTATTTGTTCCTGTCTTCTTGTATTTTCCAGTTTGCTTGTTCCCAGCAGGGTCAAAAACCCAGCTCAAGGAAGGAGGATGAAATTTTAAGGAAGAAGAGACTGCGTGAAAGAAATAAGAAAGATCAAAAATGTGTCATTTCCTGCAATTATAGTCAAGGAAAATTAAGGAACAAATATGCTATAATATTTTTTGTCCACTCTCATACCCAGTGTATCCACAGATCTCCCATGCTCTGACAGCATCAGTTAAATCACTCCACTGTCCACTTGGACTGCCCTTTAAAATAACTTTTTTTTTTTTAAGAAAGAAAAGTTGAAAAATCATGGATAAACACACTCCAAGGAAATATTTCCTGTGTACAGTAGAAAGAAGCTGAGGGAGAGCCCCTGCTCCATGCTGGGGTCAGTCCCCATTGCAATGTATGGAGGCAGGTCACGGGGAGGAAACCAGTGTAAACAGGATCTGCTTTTATCAGTGGGAAAAAACCCCAACCCCCTTAAAATTGGCCAGAAATATGTGTCTATATGTTATAGTCACAGGCTGCTGTGTCCAAGTCTTGCTGCAGGGTTAAGTCAGAGGCACAGAGCTGTCCCTGAATGCAAGTCCCTGCCTGTCCCCTCTGCTTTGGGAAGCAGCTAGTGAGGGACAGCCCATGCCTTCACCCCCAGCAGGATGCCTGGACTGGGGTGTCAGGACCAGGGTTAAGCATGGTAAGGATGTTTGCTGGAAGCCCTGAATGTGGGGTGAGAAAGGTAACCTGCCAGCCACACAGAACATCCTCCTGGTGGGATGCTGGGGCAAAGGGGAACCTGCCAGCCTAGAGGGACATCCTCCTGGTGGGATGCTGGGGGAACCTGCCAGCCTGGAGGGACATCTTCCTGGTCGGATGCTGGGGGTGGGGGGGACATGCCAGATAGAAATGACATCTCCCCTGGTGGGTGCTGAGGGGACATGCCAGCCATGCAGGGCATCCTTCTAGTGGGATGCTGGGACTGAGGTGGGCATGGCAGCCTGGCAGAGCATCCTCCTGGTGGGATGCTGGGCCTGGGGGTCCTGTCAGCCATGCAGGGCATCCTCCTGCTGTGATGCATCCTCCTGCTGTGATGCATCCTCTTGGTGGGATGCATCCTCTTGGTGGGATGCATCCTCTTGGTGGGATGGTGGGACTAGTGGAGGGGGGAAGAGGAGGAGGAGAGGCATGCCAGCCGTGCAGGACATCCTCCTGGCGGGATTCTAGGGCTAGAGGGGACACACCAACCTGGCAGGGCATCCGCCTGCTGGGACGCTGGGGCTGAGGGGGGCATGCCAGACTGACAGAGCATCCTCTTGGTGGGATACCTGTGCCGGGGGCCACGGCAAGGCGGTCTCCAGCGGGCAGGTGTAGCTCCCCCTCAGCCCCAGGACCCCCGTGCCGGGGGGACACACGGACCCGCCGGGCAAACCCTTTGCTCTGCTGCCGCCCGGCGGTGACGGGCGGGACGGCTGCACCCGGGTACCCCCCACCCACCCCCGGGGGTCTGCACCCGCTGCTGCGCGACCCCTTCGCGGGTGGGTTCCCTCCCGTCCGTGCGTGCCTGAAACCCCCCGTCCATCATCTCCCATCTCCCTCCGCCCGCCGGCTCCGCCACCAGCTCGTCCTGCCCTGCGCTCGCCTCGTCCAGCAAAGGAACGCTGCTGCCGCCCCGCCGCCGCCTCCTCCTCCTCCTCCTCCTTCCCTTCCTCCTCCTCCTCCTCCTCCTCCCCCGGCAGCACCTGACGCGCGGGGCTCCCGCCCGCCCCCGCCCCGGTCCCGTCCCGCCCCTCCCGCCGCTCCCGGTCCGAGCAGGGAGCGGAGCCGCCGGCGCTGCCGCCCGAGCCCAGCGCAGCCCCCGGAGCATGAGAGGGCGGCGGGGGGGCCCCGACCGCGCTGCCCCCCCGGGCTGAGCGGCGGGGAGAGCCCGCGGCGGGGCGGGGGGCAGCGCGGCCGCACGGCGCGAAGCTCTTTCTCATCCCTCTCTCTCATCCCGCTCTCTCATCCCGCTCTCTCATCCCTCTTTCTTATCCCTTTCTCCATCCCTCTCCCCTCCCTCCGTCCCTCTCTCATCCCTCTCTCCATCCCTCCCTCCATCCCTCCATCCCGGCCGGGGGAGCGGGGTGCGGAGTGGGTCTAGGCGGGGGCTGCCGGCCGGGGATCATGCCGGGGGAGCTGCGCCTCGGCACCGCTTTCTCCTCGCCCTCCATGGAGCCCGGACTTTCTCTACAATGACTTTCCCCGAGCTGAGCAATGGCAGCTTGAGCGGGAACCGGACGGGACAGGGCAGCCAGAGCGGTGCCAACCGGTCCTGGGGGCTGCAGGGTGAGGAGAGCCCCGACGGCAACGGCACCACGCTGACTTTCGCCTTGGACGTGCAGGCGGTGGGCGTCGGGGTCTTCCTGGCCGTGTTCATCCTCTCGGCCATCGTGGGGAACATCCTGGTCATCCTGTCGGTGGCTTGCAACCGGCACCTGCAGACGGTCACCAACTACTTCATCGTCAACCTGGCCATCGCCGACCTGCTGCTCAGCACCACCGTGCTGCCCTTCTCGGCCACCCTGGAGGTGTTGGGCTTCTGGGTGTTCGGGCGCATCTTCTGCAACATCTGGGCAGCGGTGGACGTGCTGTGCTGCTCTGCCTCCATCATGAGCCTGTGCATCATCTCCGTGGACAGGTACATCGGCGTCAAGTACTCCCTCAAGTACCCCACGATCATGACCGAGAGGAAGGCGGGGGTCATCCTCGTGGTGGTCTGGCTCTCCTCCATGGTCATCTCCATCGGGCCCCTGCTGGGGTGGAAGGAGCCGCCGCCGCAGGATGAGAGCATCTGCAGCATCACAGAGGAGCCAGGCTATGCCCTGTTCTCCTCCCTCTTCTCCTTCTACTTGCCCCTCATGGTCATCCTGGTGATGTACTTCAGGATCTACGTGGTGGCCAGGCGGACCACCCGGAGCTTGGAGGCAGGGGTCAAGAAGGAGAGGAATAAATCCATGGAGGTGGTTCTGCGCATCCACTGCCGCAGCGTCCTGGAGGACCCTCTCTCCAGCACCCGGAGCAAGGGGCACAACTTCAGGAGCTCCCTCTCCGTGCGGCTCCTCAAGTTCTCCCGTGAGAAAAAGGCAGCCAAGACTCTCGCCATCGTCGTGGGTGTTTTCATCCTCTGCTGGTTCCCCTTCTTCTTCATCCTGCCTTTTGGTAAGTGACCCCGTCCCCCCTCCCAGCCCTGCTTCCTGTGACTGGACCCTTGGGGACCTGCTCTTTGGGATAAACTTTCAGACAACTCATGCACGGATGTGAGGGATAGGTAACTGATGAGTGAATAAACCAGCAATGAATTAATTCAGTTAATTAACACTCAATATTTATTAACCAAACTCATATAATCAGTCAAAGTAAATAGCAAATGAATAAAATAGCAGCATAATAATTGCTTTAATTAATTCATTCTGCATTCAGCATTTTAAATAATGAAGTTTAGGCTAAGGAGCAAGCAGCTCTGTTTCAAACAGGCTGTCATTATGGCACAGTGGTCTCCAAAGAGTTTTGCTGTCCTCCCTTCCTCCCAGTTTGGGAAAGGCACCTGGATGTGCCTCCGTGGGTCCAGGGCTCCCACCTCTATTGGAGATGACTGAGGTTTGATCTCCCCAGGGAGTGTCAGAGTCTGAAGCATGTCTCACTGACTTCCCAGGATGTCGTTGTTGTGCAGGGACCTGGAGCAGGACCAGGTATTATCTAAGGGTGATGGGAGAAGATCCTATGTGATTTCCCAGGACACTCCTTTAGGGTTGTCTGACAAGTTGTGCTCTAAAGTTTTGGCAAGTTGTCTGTGAAAAGGAGGCAGAAGAGGCGTGCAGAAGAGGCTGAGCAGGCACAGAATGTGCTGGGGATATGTGATGTCCAAAGCAACATCCCCTTCCAGCACCAGTGCAGGGATGCCAGTGCTCTTCCTCACCACCTCACTGAACGAGCACCCAGCTCAGGGGACCTGATGAGCCCCCTGGAATGCTGTAATAAACCTGGAGGGGGGGAAATAGAGGTTAAAATAACTTGTGGATGTCAGCAGCAGCCTTTTGCACAGAGCTCAGCAAAGCAGAGAGGTCTGTCATTCCATCTGCCAGCGGGGACCCACGTGTCCCACAGCCCACCAGGGACTTGTGTCCCACCAACCCTGCAGCCAGGGAAGCAGTACAGCTGGTTCTGCACTTTTTCTCAGGGTTTTTCAAATCCTCTTGCTCGAGGCTCCCTCTCAAGTCAGTGGAAACAGCATCGTGACCACGGGACAGATTTTGACCTGTGGAGGTTTTGAGCTCCCTCCAGCACTGGGGCTGTGCCCCTGGGGACAGCTGGAGCCCAGGTCTGTGAGACACCCTCCAGTGGGATAAATCACCAGGATTGATGGTGTCTTGGGAGCTGAGGTGTCCCTGGAGTGGTGGATCAGGGCTGTGCGTGTCTGCTCTCACCATGCTGCTGTCTTGTACTTCTTTGCTCCAGTTTCTCTGTCTGGGTGAGGGTGGTATTTGGGAAGTTTATCTCAGCTCTCCACGGGGGTGAAATCGCTGCTGTGGAGAGTTTTCACCCTATGTGAGCGTTGCAGTTCATGGTAAAACTCGGGCAGGGAGCAGTAAGGCTGCACTGAGCTGCTCTCTCTGCAAGACCCGAGATTAATTGCCCTGTCCGACCACGCCTGACTTTCCCTTTCACTGAGCAGGTACATGGGAGGGGGTTGTAGCCTGCAAATAAAAAGTTTGGGAGTTGTGGGGTTTGGGTAGATGCCAGTACCCAAAGGCTGAGCTCTCTGGGCAGCCCCAGTCTGATACTCTCCTCCTCAGCCAGAACCAGCAAGAACCAGCTCCAAACCTCACTCACACCTTTACACCTTAAAATTACAGAATCACGGAATGGTTTGGGTTGGAAGGGACATTAAAAATCATGTAGTTCCAACCCTCTGCCAACCTTGCAGCTAATGAAGCTGGGAAATGGGATCCTGTTCCTCTGAGTTACTCCCAGTACTTGGAAATAGAGAACAAACATGAGGCAAATACTTTTTTAGTAGAAATAAAAAAATATTTTGCCTTACTGTAGCTGTTCTCCCTTGAAACACTTGAGCCAGCTTCTCTGCTGGTGTAAATCACCACCCTTGTGCAGAAGTCAAAGGAGACACGGTGATTTCCACCGGCTAAAAATCCAAACTTCATTCTTGAAGTACCTCCCATGAGCCCTTCGAGCACACAACTTGCCAAGTCCTTTATAAACACGGCTTTGATCTTTACTTCCTGCTGTATTATATGTATAACATAAACACGGCAAAACTTCATTTATTTTATGACTACAAAATATTCTGCTTCTCATTTCCCCACCCTTCATTAATTGCAGTTTTCCTATTCAAATCTCAAAATCATTCCGGGGCTATCTGGGAGGAGAACAGAAACTTCTAATCTTGGATTTTACAGCTCAGGACATGAGTCTGAAACTCACAGAAATCAGCAAAGTCCACTGTAAATTCACAGTCTGAAACATACTGGGGCCAATTCTCCTTGAAAAGAAGGTTATAAATGTTTAAGTAGAATGGTTTTTATTTGTTTGTTAGACAAAAATAGGTGAAATAATTTGGGACCAACTGGAAATTATACTTATACACATTTTAAATGAAAATTAAATTCTCATGAGAAACCAAATAACTTTAAACTGAAGTGAAATGTATTGTTTCAATTTGAGTAAATGGGAGTCTATTAAAAAATGAGCGCTCAGAGACATTTCGAAGTGAGCTGTTGCATTAAAATGAAGTGAATAAGGGATCTGTTTTCTTCCGAAAATATCCAAATGTTTTGACTGTTTTTTCCCTCTTTGACATGAATTCGCAAGAAATCGTCCTTGGCTCGCACTGTTCGCTGTCATCTGATCATACTTTTTAGGGATAAGGAAATTTGTCAAGTGAAAAAAGACTCTCAGCTCTACTTAGCATTCCCTGAGCACTCAGAAACTTCCGCGCTGGCTCCGTCGTCGGTGTCTGTGAGTCTGCACAGATCTTTGCAGCTCTCTGCAGAATAGTTTCCACATTAGTTACACAGGAGCAATATTTATCACATCAGGGCTGAAAAGCTGAAATAAGCAGTAATTTGAATGACACAATCTATGTGTGTGTGTGTGTGTTAAATGCTGTCAGCTGTTTCTCCGTGCTCGAACGATCTACAGCGATCTTTCTTCAAATCATCTCAAACTCCCCAATACCTCCATGGTCTGTTTATCAGCTGAATAATTTAGCTCACTCTTGGGTGTGGGATACGTGGGATGCCATCACCAGGAGTTTAAACAAAATTAACAGTTCTGTGGCTAATAAGACTCTTCAAGCAGCGGGTTCTTCAACCCGAGATGAAATCCTAATTCCCAGTGTGAGGGTGGTGCCCTTGCTGGGTGTGCAGTGGAGCTCTAAAAACTGCTCTGTCTCGGGATCCTGGGTGGTGGTGGTGGGGTTTGAGGCAGGATTCCTCTTCCCTTAGCAAACACCTGTCTAGAGAACATAACTGGAGACTTTTCAGAGGTGTGGGCAAGGAGTTTAAGGCTGGTTTATAGGACAGGATTCATCTCCCTTTGGTTGTGTCAGACCATGAAGATGATCCAAGGGCTGGAGCCCCTCTGCTCTGGAGACAGGCTGAGAGAGCTGGGTGTGTTTAGCCTGGAGAAGATAAGGCTCCAGGGAGATCTTGGAGCATCTTCCAGGACCTAAAGGGGACTTATAAAAAGGAGGCAGAGTGACTTTTTATATGGGTAGATAGTGACAGGACAAGGGGTAATGTTTTTGAACTGACAGCAAGGTTAGATGTTAGGAAGAAATTCTTTACTCAGAGGGTGGTGAGTAACTGGCAGAGGCTGCCCAGAGATGTTGTGGATGCCCCATCCCTGGAAGTGTTCAGGGCCAGGTTGGATGGAGCTTGGAGCACTGGAGCAGGCTGCCCAGGGCAGTGTTGGAATCCCCATCCCTGGAGGGATTTAAAAGTATGGATGTGGCACTTGAGACATAGTTTAGTGGTGGCCTTGGCAGTGCTGGGGAATGGTTGGACTTGATCATCCCAGAGGGCTTTTTCAAATTTAACAATTCCATGATTCTATAGAGTCTTCACTGGCTCTTCTGCTAATGGGAAACTCTGCTAAAAGTTAGGTGCTGGGTTTGCCCTTGCATAGGGGCACCTGTGCAAGGTGATCAAGGAGCCAGAACCCCCTACCCAACACCTTTAGATAGATAGTCACCTGCTTTCCAAAGCCTGATCCAGGGGGAATTAATTAAGAGGATGAGGAGGGATGGAGCCCTGGTCCCCATGCACTCCTCTGCTGGGGACCATGCAAAGGCAATGTGGGTCCCCAAATGGGGCCATCTCGGGAGTGCAGTTAGAGATCTTCTCCATCACCACCCCAGAGAAAACAAGCCTCTCTTGGGATCAAGAATGCACTAGCTGGTATCCAGGATGGTGATTTACACACCTCAGTGGCTCTTGTCTTTTAAGAACCATAGTCTAGTGTGAGTGAAGGGCTCCCATGTTTGTTATTCTTTGGATTTGGTTGGAAGTCAAGAGCGGTGTGAGGAAGCACAGCAGCACCTGAGTTAGTGCCACACAAGGGAGACACAACCCAAGGCTCCCTTCACTCCATCCTTCCACAAGCAACGGGTTACCTGGACGAGGAATGACTTAAGAGATCCCTCAGGATGAGCAAAGCCCTCCGTGTTCATAGTTGGATTGGTGACTTGCTGTGCTTGTGCTGTGCTTGTGCTCATTTCCAGGAATGAGCCAGAAAAACAGCGTCCTGCCTTTTTCACCTGCACCCTGAAGGAAAGGCAGATGCTACACCAGCGAGGCCCAGAAAGGTCTCCTTCGAGCCAAAACATAAATGTGTTTGTAGATGCTGTTTTTCACGGGGCAGGAGTCCTTTCACAAAGCATTTTGGAGAAGATGGGCTCACAGAGGTGTAGCAGTGCTCAACTTCAGGAGCTGTCACTCGCAAAATAAATGATGGGGATGACACTGTAGGTGGAAGCACATTTCAGATGAGACCAGGTCTGTTCTGGTAGACGTGGAGAATCTAATTCTACTCTGATATAAGAGCATTTAATATGGTTTCCTGATGAAAAAAAAAAAGGGCTTATGTCATCACTCTGTGCCTGAGAGCATGGAAATTTTCACCACCTGATGAACTCTTTCATG